CGGTGTTGGGAGAATTCCCTTGCTACGAATTGTACTGATAGATAAAAGAGTGACTTGGAGGATTTAGGGCGATGTTTGAGGAAAGTACGGATAGATGTGGAAGGTAGTATAGGCCCGTAATACTGAAAGCAGAGGATCCGTACTCGAGTCAAGCAGAGTCACGATGATACCGGGAAGCTGATAGGTTTTGGGATTCCTCGATATATATATATATATATATATATATATATATATATATATATATATATATATATATTGTGATCGTTCTTGTGATCTATTTTTAGTATGGTGGCCACACGAGGTGTTTCTAGCAGTGGTTCTGGTTTGGGATTTGGGGCCAGACAGTTGGATGAGCAGATGTGGCAGTTCATTTCGTTTGAGATTACCCGCAACATACTTGAGCAGACTCATGTGATCTTTGGTACGATCAAGGAGGGTATCATGGATGTTTTGGAGGAGTGCGTGGGCATTTTTCGTTCTGAGATGGTAGCATTGATGGAAGCTCTCACGTTGACTTTTCGTAAGTTCTGGGCTAGTGGGGCTCCTGAGTTCTTCAGGGAGAAGGACCCGATTGTGAGTAGGAGGTGGTTAGTGGATGTCATGAATGCCTTCCGCACTAGCAGTTGTCCCGAAGGGGGCAAAGGTCGGACTTTCTTCATGTCTTCTAAACGACAGAGCTTCAGATTGGTGGGAGGAGGTTGGATGCACCGTAGGGGACGAGTCAGTTGATTCAATAACAAAGGATGACTTTGTGACGATATTTCGAGCTGAGTTTGCACCGGTGATTGAGGTGCAGCAGTTGGCGAGGGAGTTTCAGGATCTTCTCCAGACTACTGAGACGATGGTTAAGATCACCGCTATGTTCCGAGAGAGGGCATTGTTGGTTTCGCAGTATGTGGCGGATGAGGAGATAAAGGAGGCGAGATACCATGAGATGTTGAGAAGTGATATCCGACAGTTTGTGAGCTAATCCAGTTGCACGACACTGGAGGATATGATTGCGAGAGCCAGAGAGAGAGAGAGAGAGAGAGAGAGAGAGAGAGAGAGAGATTGACTTGGAGATGGAGAAGAAGAGGAATCCAGATCCGGTTCAGGGTTCTGGGAGTTCGGGTAAGAGGCCCAAGGTTTTTGATTCAAGATCAAGACGCCAACAGGTTCGGGGCCGCTGCGGAAAGTGCAGCAAGAACCAGGATGGGGCTTGTAGGGTGGGTGGTTCTGGCTGCTTCAAGTGCGGCAGGACGGGTCATTTTAGCAGGGATTACACTGCTACCACCACCACCACCCATGTATTTGATCTAATTTACTTCCATTTCAATCATAGGGGCCATAAGAAGTCCAACTTCCCGAGTTTAGCAGCGGGAGGACCAGTTGTAGCACCCGCTCCAGCTATTCTACGGATTACTGATGGATGCCAGGGTAAGGCGGATGCGCTTGTTGTGAGGAGCAGAGCTTTTCAGCTGACAGCCAAGGAGTCTCGTGTAACACATGATATGGTGACGGGTATGTATCTTTTCCTTATCTCTTTATTTATGATGATTTTTCTGCTTATATTTGTGTGCTTTATTTTAGGGTCGTTCCATGTGAACAATATCTCTGCTTTGGTATTGTTTGATTCGAGGGCTACCCGATCTTTTGTATCTCTTGTGCTCAGCAAGATTTTTTTGGCACTCCGGGGGAGTTGGATTGTCCATTAGAGGTTGAGATTGTGGATGATCGATCTGTCCTGGCATCAAGGGTTCATCAGCATTGTATGCTGGAGATGTTTAGTGACTGGTATCCGATTAATTTGGTTCCTATTCCTTTGTGCGGAAATAAGGTTATCGTAGGGATGGACTGGTTGAGCCCCAATAGGGTAGGGATTGATTATGAGCATCAGATGGTCCACATTCGTACCCGGGGTGGGGGAGAATTAATAGCATATGGAGAGAGTGCTCAACATGGGCCGATTCTTTGTTTAGCACCTAGGGCCAGATGCTCTCTTCAGCAGGGTTGTTCCGAATATGTTACCCATGTTATAGATACTCGGGAGAAGGGTAGGTCGACTGTGGATGACGTGTTGATTGTACGGGAGTACCCATATGTGTTTCCAAAGGATTTACCAGGAGTGCCTCCGAAAAAGAAAGTGGAGTTTCGAATTGACTTGGTTCCCAGTGCGGCTCTGAAAGCCAAAACACCGTAGAGATACGCGATTTGTCTACATAGCTACAGGATCTATTAGAAAAAGGATTCATTCGGCCGAGTAATTCGCCTTGGGGAGCGTCAATCCTATTTGTGAACAAGAATGATGGATCACATCGGATGTGTATTAACTACCGGGAGCTGAATAAGCTAACGGTGAAGAACCGTTATCCACTCCCGAGGATTGATGACTTATTTGACAAACTTCATGGTGCATCTTGGTTTTCCAAGATCGATCTACGCTCGGGTTATCATCAGATGAAGGTCAGAGAGGAGGATGTGCATAATACAGCCTTCTAGACTCGTTATGGTCAATACGAGTTAGTGGTGATTCCCTTTGGGCTCACCAATTCTCCAGTCGTATTCATGCAACTCATGAATCGCGTATGCAGGCCTATGTTGGATCGTTTTGTGATTGTGTTTATTGATGATATACTGGTCTATTCTAAGACCCAGGAGCTTCATGAGGAGCACTTGAGGGATGTATTGGAGACTCTGAGGAGGTAAAGGTTGTATGTGAAGTTCTCCAAGTGTGAGTTCTAGTTGCACAAGGTGTAGTTTCTGGGGCACCTTGTCAACCAGAACGGTATCCTGGTCGATCCGGCCAAGGTCGAGGCGGTGATGAGATGGGAGGTTCTGAGGTCTCCATCTGAGATTTGGAGTTTCCTTGGTTTGGCAGGTCACTATCGGAGATTTAGTTAGGATTTCTCCAAGATGGCGGTTCCTATAACATGGTTAACAAAGAAGACTATCACTTTTTGTTGGGGGCCTGAGCAGCATGCAACTTTTGAGACCTTGAGGCGGGGTTGTGTGAGGCGCCGATTCTGACCCTTCCTGGGGGTGTTGAGGATTTTAAGGTTTATTGTGATGCGTCGATCATGGGTTTGAGCGCATTTTTGATGAAGATGGATCGCATTATTGCTTACGCTTCGAGGCAGCTAAAGCCTCATGAGGTGAATTATCCGACACATGACTTGGAGTTGGGGGTTGTGGTGTTTCCCCTCAAGATTTGGTGACATTACCTCTATGGGTCCGTTTTACTATCTACATGGATCACAAGAGCCTGAGGTATTTGATGGATCAGCCAAATTTGAACAAGAGGCAGCTGGTTGGATAAGGTGAAGGATTATGATTGTGAGATCCTTTACCATCTGGGGAAGCCCAATGTGGTGACCGATGCTCTCAACCGCAAGGTGGTCGCGGCTTTGATCAGAGATATGTTTTTGAGGATGACAGTCATTACTCCACTCTTGGAGAAGATTTGAGAGGCTCAGGTGGAGGCTATGAAGGAGGGGAACTGAAATAGTGAGCGCATAGTGGGCTAGGTGGCTTTCTTCGATTATGATAGTCGAGGGTTATTGACTCTCCATCAGAGAGTGTGGGTTCCTTACTGGGGTGGTGTGCAACAGGTTTTTGTGGAGGAGGCGCACAAGTCAAGATTCTATATTCATCTTGGAGCAACAAAGATGTATAGAGATCTCTGTCCCAATTATTGGTTGCCATGTATGAAGCAGGATGTAGCTTGGTATGTAGATAGGTGCTTGACTTGTAGGAAAGTCAAGGCCGAGCATCATCGACCTCACGGCAAGATGCAGCCGTTAGACATTATCGTTTGGAAATGGGAAAAGATTACTATGGATTTCATCAGGAAGTTGCCACGGACAATGCGCAAAGTAGATTCAATATGGGTCATCATGGATCGATTGACATAGAGCGTGCATTTTGTTCCGATTCAGGAGAGTATCTCTGTCGAGAAGTTGGCCGACATTTACATCAGGGAGGTTGTGGCACGACATAAGATTCCGGTGTAACACTCGATTTTGAATCGTTTCATTATTCTGGGAAGTGGCCTAATTATCGGTTATCGAAAGGCTTAGGGCCTTGGGGGGGGGGGGGGAATTGGCCCTTTTTGGATGTGGGTGTTATAGGTTAAGTAATCCAAGTGTTTATTTGTGTTTTGGAGCCCAAGGGTATAACTGTAATTTGGTAGCTCGGTCCTTTATGAATTTTGGTTTTTTGTTAGGGAAATTATAAGGTAGGTGTGAGTTGATAAAAGTGTAGGGCTTCTCGTCACCTTTTTGTGGATTTAAAGTTCGTTAGAAACGGACTTAAGACGAATGAGTTATGGTCAATTGAAGTTCATATGATTTGGAGCTTGGTCGAGTACGCGGGGCGTACTCACTAAGTACGTTGGGCGTAATGGGTTAATGCATCGCGGGTGGTTCTTAAGTATGTCGGGCGTACCAAGGGGTATGCGGGGCTACTCCCTTCATCTAGAAAGCCTCATTTTTAGGATTTTACCCCTATTTAAGCATCTTTTCTTCTTGAGCCTTGACCTTTATCAGCCTCCAAGCCTCCTAAACCCTAATATTCGACCCTTAGTGTAACACCCCATTTAAAATAGAATTATTAAATAATAAAACCCGAAACCCCGAGAAGTAATTTTCATTATTATTTTGTAGCCCAAAATCAAATAATAATTAGCGGGATGTTAGTTTCAGGGGTTAAAGTGTAATTTCGGCACTTATTTTTTTGAAAAGGTTTAGTAGAGGAGGGGCTATTTGGTATCATTTGGACTTAATATAAAAGAATTTATGGAAGCAGGGGATTAAAGAATAAATATCAGACTTAATTTAAAAGGAATTTCAGAAGGAGGGGTTTAAATGGTAAATTAAGGACTTGTCTTGAAAAGAAAAATTAGAGGAGGGGCTGGAAGTGTAAAATTGTATGCCATTGTAGGGGATACGGGTGAACCTATCACCCTCTTTAGCCTCCATATATATTCTTACCACAACCCATGTAAACCCTAACCCTAAACCTAGTCATGTTCCAGCCGCCACCCTCACTACACTCGCCCTTTCAGCCGTCGCTATCAACCACCAAAGTCCACCGTGAACCGCTGCTAACGGCAAGATATTCAGGGGGCGCTGTTCCATTTCCGACAAAGACGGACCATGGCTGTCGCTGCTGCCTTTCGTGGGTGAAGAAGAACGGTTCTGGTGCTCCGCCATTGCTGCGGTTCTACGAACTTTCCACCACCGCCTTTCGCCATCTGTTAAGGCATCAATACCACTCCGAGCCGTCACCGATGCTGCTGACCACGAAGATGAGGGTTGCCTTGGACGACGACGCAGTGGATGATTTGGAAAATCGGTGTTGTGATCCATCGTGGCTGCTGTTGGAAAGACGAAGTCGCCACCCTCTTTGCTTCTCCATTTTCTGTTGCATCGTCACCACCGTAAGGTGGTGGCCGTCGCTGTGCGCCACCGTAAGTGTTGGGTTTTGAGCATTCTAACACTCCTATGGTGTACATGCAACCCTATAAACCTTGGATCTATGTTTTCTCTATTATACATGCAAATATTAAATATTCCAAGGTTTCATCCTAACTAGCATATTATGAAGCACCTATACTACAAAGTTCTAGTTAGATGACATACCTTTTGATGTAGCTTGATGTCTTCAAGCTTTAAGAGCTTAGCCCCAATAGTGTGGAAGCCTCAAGTGGAATCACAAATCACCAAAACACCTTGGAAAACCTTTAGAGAATATGGATACTTGGCTCACACTATGAAATCGGTTATTGCCCTCTTTAGTGTATCCACACTAGCCACTCGCATAATTTCATGAACCATAAGACCCTTTATATAGTGTGGAGGATTAGGGTTAAACCCCTAATACCCATGACCTTTCATTTCCTAGGATCCATGGGTTAAAGCTCCATGGACTATCCATGAAGACTTAGCCCAACCTAAATGAACTTGGCCCACTACACATATATATATCTAAGAGTCCATATTTAATTAGTTCCTTTTGATCACTTAATTAATTATAAATTAATTCTTGATCAATACTAATTAAATAATATGATTATATATTAATATATTAGAACTTATAATATATTAATATAAATCATAAATATACTATTCTCAAAAGACTATCCATATAAATTATGTCGGTGAAGTGCAACCCAAATGGACCATGCCGGGTCGGGTCAAGTACATACAAAATATAGTTATGGACTTAGACATTAATCCAACAGTCTCCCACTTGGATAAGTCTAAAACTATTATTGAGTATGACTTCAAAAACCTTCTGGCAATCGTAGCTCTTAAAGCCGCTGTCGAACTCTGATCTTGTCAATGAACTCTGACCTTTGTCAATGACTTGTCCATTAGATAAGGGATCATATATTCCTCCATTCTAGATATCATATGGACTGAGACATGGATTAATCATTCTCTCTGTCCATTTGTTGTTTCCCGATTTCCGATTTATGATGACTGACTGATTGAACAAATCAAATCAGGCCTGGCTTGGCCAAGCACTCACATGTGTCATCGCTAAATCATCGAGGGGCCCACAGATATCGCTTTTATCCCGAAGGTAAAAGGAATGGATAAACTTCGACTCATATGGCTTTTTCTACTACTTGTTGAATCATACACAAAGGCACGTTTTATAACATCGAGTTACCGAATGCGTTTTCGTGCAATCAATGTACAACCAACTCATAGTAACAACTCATATCTCTAGGTTTGAAGAATAAGATATATCGTCTCATGATCACTCGTGATAAAATCCATGAAGTGATTCAAATGAGCGTGGGTTGAATCTAATACTCAGAACTTATGAGCACTCATGAGTGTTGTAGCACCACTTTGTCCAACATCTTAGACCTCTACAAGCCAACCCATGACAGTCTTGATTCATATCTACTTCCAACATATGACCGACTGTGGATAGTTTGAATAACTTAGTCATTCAGGAAGAATGACCTAGTTTATTCTGGAAGTCAAAACATGCAAAATGAGACACAAGAATAAATGAATCAAATATGGTATCAAACCCTATGAATATAAATAGACCACTTTTATTTATCACCATACTGATTACTCATTATTTCATTGTTTCGGTTTTATCAACTTTATACCTGAATTAAAAACACTAGTTGTCCCATGCTCCAAGCATGTACACTATGTTTTTCTAAAAATAGCTTTGGCATACCAAGTATGCACTCTATGTTTGTCTATGATCCTTACTTTGTGAAATAAACCAATTGAACATAATTTCAATGATTCTAATTTCACACTCCCAAATCCTTATCGAAAAATGTGAGAATTTCAAATTCCTATCATTTATCGAAATCTGTTTAGATTTTAAACTTATATGCACTGACCCTCCTATAATGAATATGTACAAAGTCACAAAGACTTGTCAACAGTCATTATAAGGTATTCCAATGGAGATCAACTCCATGGAAACTAAGTCTCACATTCAAAGTACATTGCTTTGGACATGCTTCTTGCATTAAGTTTTCTAATCATACACAGATAACTTCCACCTATGGAGACAACTCCATATTCTCATTTTGACTATCACTTCTGAATAAGAGATGCCTCTTTTCAGAATATGTCAATATGGTCCTTCCAAAATTAGCAATGTACTTCCAACTGTCCCTGAGCAACTAATCTTTGGTAAACCTCAAATTGTCCTCGACAATTGCTTAATCAATTTAGTCATATCCAATTCTAGACCTTTTCCCTTCTTAATGCCTCTGGGCATTTGGAAAAATTTAGAAATGACAAATATTATAGCACATGCAATCGATCCTGTACCCAAAGCAAATGGTACACGATTCATGATGTCTCACATAAAGACATGATTCTAGACCAGTCTTTTGCTACAATATTTTTATTTGCCATGTTTTCAAAATTTGACTATGAAGAGGGATGCTGTAATCATAATCGAATTTTGAGAACGCAATATATAGAATTTCCTTAAGTTGAACCAATCCAACATGAAATTCATATATACATATATATATATATATATATATATATATATTCTTGACTAAAGATGATTAAGGTCTCAATCTAAGCCTTTAGAACTGAAATGAAGTATATCCTCTCCCTTAATTATAGCAAAACAACTTTTTCAATCCCTGCAGCCTCACGAATTGAAACTTTTGTTTTCAATAATTAACATTGCTAACTTGCAACACTAACAATAATTATCATGCTCCCACTAACATGATGATTATTAGCATAACACTTATGCTCCCACTAGCTTTGACATGTACTCAGAAATCAGCTGGACTTCTAGAAATCAATACTTTATTGACTTTCTTACCAAAGTTCAGATTTCTGATACGAGATGCTTTGATAAAACTTTATCAAAATCATACACCTTTCCTTAGATAGCATGCATGTGTGTCTAAACAATTCAGAACTATGAAAAGGGATGCCGTAATCATAGTCTCAATTGTTTAGACCTTTGCCATCTGCTTCAAATCTACTTGGTGGAAGTGTTTCCTCACCATCATTTTCATGAATCGGAGAGAAACCTTATGACCCTTAGATTTTATGGTGTATGTGTTCTTATCCATGTGAATCGTCAAAACCATAGTCACAAGATAAGGATAATGACAAATCCAAACTCATATGGACTGAACTTATGCAATCTTAACTTCTTGCCACCTGGCAGTACAGGGCATGCCATTGCTTCCAAGTTGTTATGCAACCAATTGAGAACTTTCAGAACTCCTATGCAAAGCCAACTTTAACTGGAATGGGCACAGAATATGTCAACACAATAGGTTATAAACCTCAAGTCGTGTGCTAGTGAAGAACCTCGGGTTTTATTCTTGATTAGTTCTTGAAATTCTTTTTAGGATCTTTAAGACTCCCACTATCCTCTTGACATATAAGACTATCTTGCCAAATATTCAAGAGATAGTGCCGATTCTTTATCAAGACAAACACTTCACACAATTGGCCTTAGTTGGTCTTTGTTTTATCCAAAACATCACAACTTACCAATTTCAAATGTACAAGAGTAGGACACTTTTACTGTTACATTTGACAAGTGTTTTAAACCTTTCTTTAAGATATGTCACTCAAGTTACAATCTTGGAGTATGACTCTAAGAATTGTTTTGGAACGAAGTATGACTCATCTTTGTAGTGACAAAGAACATGGTTTGGCATGCGGAATTAAAGTTTGCCCAATGAACATGGTGATTTGGGTGTTCAAGAGATGTATTGAAATATTGTATTGTTTACAAAAAGGGACATAGATCTACATCTATATAAATAACACACACTCACACCACTCAACCTTTACACCTCTCAAGCACACCTCTACAAGTGGTATGAACCCACTATTTAAGAGGGTTTACATGTTCTCTCTCACCTCACTAACACATGTGTCTAAAGGCTAATACACCACATGCAAGTGGGTCTACAAGAGTCAAACGATACAAAGTCATACATGAAGAACTTTGTACCCCAACATTCTCCCCTCAAGTTAGGAATGGATGACCCACTTCAAATCTTCCAAAATCGAGCAACTACGCGGTTCGAGCCTCAAGGTGACACATGTCGAAACGAACTTCAATCTTCAATTCTTCCATGATTCTCAATTTGGGCTCTAGGATGTGAAACCATACCAAAACCGAGCAGCAACGAATGATTAACTCCAAATAATCACCCAAAAGTTGCGCATAAAAACACATCCCAAAAATCTTAAATTACCAAACCCATTTCGAAAATAAATCATTTCGAACTTCCAATTGCATCATCTCGTAAGCTTCAAAAATTAAGATCACTTCGGTCTTCAAATCCGCGTAATATGAAAAATTCAAGTTCGAATTTCCATATAATTTCTTCCCCCTTTTTATAATCGAAATTTGATTATAAAAACCTTCAAGGAAAGAGAACGTGCTCTATTCGGAATTTTTCGTGTCAATACTCCCCCTTAACATGTGGCATAAACATTGTGCTTTAATCCGGAAAATCGAAAAAAATATTCAATTTTTAGCTTCGTTCACGGATCGCCTTTGACAAAATTTCTCAAAAATGGGTAGAAATTGTCAATTTCAAAATTCTGCAGTGACCCGGTGCGCCCAAAACAGCAAAATATGCAAAACTCTCCCCCTTTTTCAAAGCTGGGTAGAAAGCGTCAATTTGCACAAACTGCAGGGGCCTGAAATGCACTTTCTTCAATTTTCAACAACAAATAGTCCTTTTTCGAATTTGGGTATGAACTGCCAAACATTCGAAGCCTCAGGGACTATTTTCGAAAATTCTGCCATTATGCACCAAACATACGAAGAATCCCCAAAATATTTGAAGCTCCAAAAAAATTTCGAATTTGGGTGAAAAGTG